TATCTATCTATCTATCTATCTATCTATCTATCTATCTATCTATCTATCTATCTATCTATCTATCTATCTATCCATCTATCTATCTATCTATCATCTATCTATCATCTATCTGACCTATCATCCACACTTTTTGCAGTTTTCAGTTTAGTAAATAAAAACTGGTAACCATTATTAGAAAGGACAGCTGTTATTCTGTAATTTCTTATAACATTCAACAAAAAAGCCCCCAAACATTAACCATGTATATACTTTTCATTCAATTGTCCTTGATGATTTCACAATAATTCCCCACCAAAACCCTTCATTTATTAACCTATCCTTTCATCTTGATTAACGTTTGAATCCAGATCTGTTTTACAAGGAATAAATTTATTTAGATTGCTGTGCTATATCCAGTTTTTTCAGCACCTTGGTAATATACCTTTTGGAATCCAGCTGGACTTTTAATAAGATGAGATGCTCCCTACACAGGAAAAAAAAAGGTTGATAAATATAGAATGATTTGGCCTTGTGAAAGAGAAAAGGATCTGAAAATGATATTCTAAACCAGGACAACTGAGGAAAGTTAAGGGACACAAGTTGCTCATGGGCTGGAGGTTCCTCATTGCTGTTTTATGGGTTTGGATTAGAAGACCTCCAGGGTCCCTTCCAACTCTGTCATTCTGTTATTATTTAGTCTTCATGTACTTATACAGGAGGAATATAAGAAGGATTGATAGTGATGAGGGTATTTCCCATATGGTGGGCTGAAGTAGAAGAATGAATAATCAACCTGATCCATTGAGTGAGAGTTACATTGTTACAATGACAAAATATACTGCTATTTACAAATTCATCTAATTAATGCTAAAAAAGGAAAAAAAATATTCTGTGCAACATTACTTTAAATTTTAACTGTGCACTCTCGATTCTTAGTGAAAGAAATCTGGAAAACCGTAGATTTAGACAGATAGAAAAAGTATTGTCATTATAATCTGTTATACTTGGAAAACCCTACAGAATATGAACGCATCTGAAGGACACTAAGTTGGGGCAGGTTAAATAGCCAAACAGAACATTATTATTTTTAAAAAAGAAGTAATTTATCATAGTCTTGGACAATAATGTGTTCAAAATAAAAATAAAAATAGCTGATCAAGGATGCATCAATTGCAAGCACCTATGGCATTTTGCCTTGAGAACACGTTGATCTATCTTAAACAATTAAACCACCTTACCACTATTGGCTTCTATATATGCATCATGTATGTGCAGGCACTGGTGTTATCAAAACAGTGGCCATTGTTTTGTTTCAAAGAAGCACTTTCCTAAAATATCTGGGGATGGGAAGTATTCCTTTGCAAATGTGCACAGATCATTTCCCACATGATTCTATAGATCATGGATGGGGACACCATGACTTGTGTTATTAAACCATAGCTCTTGGCATCCCTCAGCACAAACCATGATGGCTAGTGCAAATGGGGGTTGTAATACAGCAACAGTTAGAGAACTTTATTTATTTATTTATTTAATCAATTAATCAATCAATTAATTAATTAATTTGTCAAGCAAGCGTTAGATAACAGGTATAAGTATAACCATGGTTATGAATACATGAAATGGATACGAATAAAAGGACAGGGACGGTAGGCACGTTGGTGCTCTTATGCACGCCCCCTACAGACCTCTTAGGAAAGGGGTGAGGTCAATAGTAGACAGTCTAAGGTTAAAGTGTTTGGGGAAGAAACCACAGAGTCAGGTTCTCTCTCCCCATACTTGTGTTTGGCAACAGAGGGAAAATGAAAATGATGGTCCATCAAGAGTACCAATTTCCCTTTGAAGGAATAAGTTGTCTTTTCATTCTTGGCACCGAGAGACAGTGGTGGTATGCTACCGGTTGGGACTGGTTCGGCTGAACCGGTAGTAAAAATAGCCTCCGATGATCAGCTGAGAGGAGAGGAGAAAGAAGAGAAAAGTGCAGGATCAGCCCTCCCACCTGCCTTTGCACTTTTCTCTTCTTTATCCTCTCAGCTGATTGGCACTGCATGCCTCAGCTGGTGTGGGGAAAGCTGCATGCACAGGTTAGGTGTGCCCACACATGCGTGTGATCACCAAACCGGTAGTGGAACAGGTAGGATCTCACTGCTGCTGAGAGAGTTTTGTGCTTTAACATAGGCGTATCTCTGCCAACCGAAGAAAAATATGCCTTACTCCCTTAATTAATTTAGAAGTGTAATGAGCTCTGCAGCTGCAGCAGGCAGCGTGTAAAGAGTGATAGTGGGAGTTGAGGTGGAGAGTTGTGCTACTGTGTTTAAAACAAGATATTGTGCATCCTTCACAAAGGTGCACAGCTTGGTTGTTTATTTGCTGGCTCTCTATTGCTGCTGTTACCTAACATACTCTACAGAGTTTAGTCAAATACCAGAGACGTCATTTGGTTTACTCAGCTGGTTACTGAGACGAAGATTAGATGGAAACTGGAGGAGGCAAGAGCTTTCCAACTTGGTATCTGCTCAAATTTTCAACCTTCAGGGAAGACATTCTATATCCAATGGTGCAGATAAGTAAATCTGAACTTTAGATTTAATGTTGCTACATCCCATTCCTCTTTAGATGCCAAATGTCTTGTGTTTTACATTTTTCCAAACTTGGTGAGCTAGTCCTGCTGCATTTTCCCGATTCTTTTCATTCTGTTAAATAAAGCCTGAGATCTCTCTCTCTCTGCAGAACTCCCTTCGTGGCCATGGTCCTTAACAGTTTTTCTTTTCCTGCTAAGATTACGTCCAGTTGCAAATGTTTCTAGAAGGAAGAAATCGCTATTGTCCCATCTAAACTGAGAATAAAGTACATGTAGTGTTCATCCATGTTCAGCTCTCCAGCTGCAAATATCAGTTGTCTCTAAAAAATCTTTTGAGTTCTAGACAAACTTTTTTTTATGTTTTAGAAGGAGAATAAGGTGCTCATGTCTGGGTGGGAAGGAGAAAAGAGAGGCCTCTTACTCAGTTCAGCCATGCATGGGCATAAAGGATTTTCTAGTCCAAATAGATTTTTTTTTTGTTATTTTGACCATAGTTGCTTCTTAATAGTGCCCCCACACTATTTATGTTTCCCAGAATTCCAAACTATTGACCTGTGTCTTGAATCCTATCATGATGCCTTAGTTACCAAACACCATCTAGAACAGGGCTGCCAAACTCATGGCCTACGGGCCGGATGTGTCATGTGCTGGCCACATCCCCACCCAGTGTAGTGAAGGGGGAAAAAGTCCTGATATGTCAACTGACGTCATCATGACGATGTGAGTTTGACACCTCTGATCTAGAATATAAGTCTAGAATGATCCTTTGGATTTAAAGCACTTTGCAGGATTGGTTGCATGGTTTTAAAGTCTCCAAAGTGTATTTGAATTAAGAGACTTCAAATATTCCCCTTGGTTGGGTAATACATATTAGGAGGAGAAGGAGACCAAGTTCTATTCCTTTCTTTTTTTGTGATTCTTTTTTTTTTTGAAAATTTTATTGATTTTTAAAAACAAGTATAAACAAACAAAACATAAAACATAAAAACATAAAACATCTTGTTTGAAAGCAGCTTGATCCCGGGTTACATCTCTTCGTACAGACACAAATTCAAGTTCATGCTCATTTTTATATACCATTCCATATTTTATTACCATTCTACATTTTCTATATAGCTTTGCCCCTCTTTTGACTTTCTTAATTTTATTTTATTTATTTCATCTCAATTCATGATGATTTTTTTGTGATTCTTGAAACTCGGGGAAGATGTTCACACCTTTATACGTTGTTAAGGAATGGATAATGGTCACTAATAGGTTATCTCTTCTGTGGGCAACTATTTGAATTTTCAGGTACTTATTCAATACTTCCTTTCTGGAGCAGAGTGTAGAAAGGTGAAACTTACTGGTTCCTTCCCATGTACTGTATATATTTATTACATTCATGGGGAGAACTTTTGAGTTGGTATGGAATCTCATAAGATATGTGTCATAATTTATTTGTTCTTCTTTGTTTCACTTTTATATTACTTCCTCTGACCAAGAAAATGAGAGTGAATATAAGTCACATTTAATGTATATAGCTCCCTGGTGAACTCAATAGATACTTAAATACCTATTGTGCAGTGGTGGGATTCAATTTTTTTTACTACCGGTTCTGTGGGCATGGCTTGGTGGGCGTGGCAGGGGAAGGACATTGTAAAATCTCCAGTCAGAGGGGGTATTTGCCACTTCTCTGAACTACTCACAATTTCCACTACTGGTTCTCCAGAACTGGCCAGAACCTGCTGAATACCACCTCTGCTATTGTGTACTTTAAATTTTACATTTAAATTCTGC